AGGTGCTCAGCCTGACTCGAAATCCAAGAAGTACAAATTAAAATACAAACATGCCACTTTGCACCCATCCTAAATGTTAGAAATATAGTTAATATGGCCAAGCAAGGTGGCTCACGTCTATAATCCTGGCACTTTGGGAGGCTGAGGTGGGCAGATCACTGGAGGTCAGGAGTTCAAGACAAGCCTGGCCAACGTGGTTCTGAAACCCTGTCTCTACTAAAAATACAAAAATTAGCTGGGCATGGTGGCAGGTGCCTGTAATCCCAGGTACTCAGGAGGCTGAGACAGGAGCATCGCTTGAACCCAAGAGTCAGAGGTTGCAGTGAGCTGAGATTGTGCCATTGCATGCCACCCTGGGTGACAGGAAACTCCATCAAAAAATATATACATATCTGTTATATATAATATATATTATATAATGTATATCTGTTATATGTTATATATTATCTAATGTATATCTGTCATACATAATATATAATATAATGTATATCTGTTAATTATATATATCATATATTATCTATATTATAATATATATAATTATTATATATATTTTAATTACAAGTGTGAGCCACTGTGCCCAGCCACTAAGAACTAGATTTATGCACAGTAACAGATATGCTGCAAAGGTTATTATATTATATATAATATAACCTTTACAATATATAATATATAAATAATATACATTATATATAATATACAAATAATATATATTATATTACATAATATAAAAAACAAAAATATATTATATATATTACATTATATATATATACACATACGTATATATATGTAATACGGGGCCAGGTGCAGTGGCTCACACCTGTAGTCCCAGCACTTTGGAAGACTGAGGTGGGTGGATCACTTGAGGTCAGGAATTCGAGACCAGCCTGGCCAACATGGTGAAACCCTGGCTCCACTAATAATACAAAAATTAGCCGGACATGGTGGAACACAACTGTAATTCAGCTACTTGGGAGGCTGAGGCAAGAGAATCGCTTGAAACCAGGAGGCAGAGGTTGCAGTAAGCTGAGATTATACCGCTGCACTCCAGCCTCGGCAACAGAGCAAGACTCTATCTCAGGAGAAAAAACAAAAACCAAAGAAATGCATATAATACTCTGAGTATGTGGGGAGACAAATTCTCTAGTCTCACTGCACAGGTGGCAGAGTAAACAGGTGAGTAATATGACAGTAAAGTACTTAGTGAGATTAAGCATTTAGGGCTCAGCAAGCCCATCCCAGTTATGAGCTTCCCGAGCTCTGCGCAGGTCCAATAGGGACTATGTATAAAGGAGGGTGATGCTCACAGCACTGTTTGAGAGAGCACGCTGGAGCAGCCTGGATCCTGGATGTGTCTGTCAGTCAGAGAACAGATGTGCTTGATGGATGTCATAGAAAACCATGCACCAGTTAAAAAGCTAGGGACTAGATTTTTTTTTTTTTTTGAGATGAAGTCTCCCTCTGTTGCTCAGGCTGGAGTGCAATGGCACCATCTCAGCTCACTGCAACCTCCACCTCCTGGGTTCAAGCAATTCTCCTGTCTCAGCCTCCCAGGTAACTGAACTTACATGTGTGCGCCACCACACCCAGCTAATTTTTTTATTTTTAGTAAAGATGGGGTTTCATCACGTTGGCCAGGCTGGTCTTGAACTCCTGACCTCAGGTAATCTGCCCACCTCAGCCTCCCAAAATGCAGGGGTTACAAGCGTGAGCCACTGTGCCTGGCCACTTGGAACTAGATTTATGCACAGCAACAGATATGTTGAAAAGGTTAGAAATAGTCGGACTTGTTGGTTCACGCCTGTAATTCTAGCACTTAGTGGGAGGCTGAGGTGGGAGGAACACTTGAGCTCAGGAGTTTGAGACCAGCCTGTACAACATAGTGAGACCTCATCTCTATGAAATAAATAAATAGGTTAAAAATATATTGATGAATGGAAAAAATAAGAAACTGAATGGAAGCTATACCTCAATGCTAGTTGTATAAGTTAAAAAGCAACCTCTTTGGCTAGGCACAGTGGCTCACGCCTGTAATCCCAGTACTTTGGGAGGTCAAGGTGAGTGGATCTCCTGAGATCAGGAGTTCCAGACCAGCCTGGCCAACATGGTGAAACCCCATCTCTCGTAAAAATACAAAAAATTAGCTGGGCATGGTGACATACCATTGCACTCCAGCCTGGATGTCAGAGTGAAACTCTATCTAAAAAAAAAAAAAAAACACCCTAATACTATATATGTACATGTGTGAATGTACACATATATGTATATATACAGATTTGTGTGTATACACACACACAAGCACATTCTTTTTTCTTTCAGAATATACACTTTGTTTGTTTGTTTGTTTGTTTGTTTTTGAGACGGAGTCTCTCTCTGTCACCAGGCTGGAGTTCAGTGGCGAGCTCTTGGCTCACCGCAACCTCCACCTCCCAGCTTCAATTGATTCTCCTGCCTTAGCCTCCCAAGAAGCTAGGACTACAGGCATGTGCCACCACACCCAGCTAATTTTTGTATTTTTAGTAGAGACGGGGTTTCACCATGTTGGTCAGGATGGATTCAATCTCTTGACCTCGTGATCCACCTGCCTTGGCCTCCCAAAGTGCCATTACAGACGTGAGCCACTAAGCTGGACCAGAATACACACATGGTTTCAAATAATCTTTTCTCCTTTTTAGTGCTATTCACATTTTGGACCAGATAGTTCTTTTTTGTGAGAAGCTGTGTGTACATTGCAGGACGTTTAACAACATCTATGGCCTCTCTCTACCTGATGCCAGTAGCACCCACTCAGTTGTGACAACCAAAAGTGCCTGTGGATTGTCAAATGTCTCCTGGGAGCCAAACTGCCCTGGTTAAGCACCACTCACCTAAACCATATGTCAAACGCAGTAGCATGACCACTTAGGTTCTCGGAGGCAGGGGTTGTGAGAGGTGCTGTGTGAGAAAGAAGAAATACTAACATAAAACAAGAACAGAGTCATACACACAATGGTTATGATGTGCCATGAACTGAGAATGATTCCCTCTAGTAGCTGAGGTCCAAATACAAGAAATAAAAAAAAAAGCAAACTAAAATTGGCCCTCGTCCTCTGAATTGGTGTATGTTTATTGGTATTCAGTCAGCCACAACCTAAGTATCTCTGAAGGCAAAGAAATTAGTGCACAATATAATCCTTTGTACTTTGGTTTTCACTGTGACTTTAGACTGAGTGAAGAAGCCTTGGTGTTTCTTTAATGAGATGAAACTAAAGCAATTTCTGAAGGGTGCAAAAGCTCTAGTGTCAGGAAGACTGTGTTGGATTAACCAACAGACAGACAAAACCTACACTGCAGTGTTGAACAAAGCAGACAACAAACACTGCTGGAAAACAAGATCCGCCCCAATGGACTTACCTGCATTTTGCAGTTAGAAACAGCCAGAAAGAAGCCTTTAAAAATAAACAGTACAGTCATCCCTTCCACATTCATGGGTTCCTCATCTGTGGACTCAACCAGCCTTGGGTCAGAAATATTTTTAAAAATTGCAAACCAGGTGCAGTGGCTCATATCTGTAATCCCAGTACTTTGGGAGGTCGAGGCGGGCGGATCACCTGAGGTCAGAAGTTTGAGACCAGCCTGGCCAACTTTGTGAAACCCCGTCTTTACTAAAAATACAAAAATTAGCCAGGCATGGTGGCGCATGCCTGTAATCCTAGTTACTCAGGAGAACTCCTGAGGCAGGAGATTCACTTGAATCTGGGAGGCAGAGGTTGCAGTGAGCCTAGATGGCGCCATTGTACTCCAGCCTGGGCAACAAGAATGAAACTCTATCTCAAAAAAAAAAAAAAAGAAGAGAGATGCTGGAGAGCTTGCTTTGTCTCCCACATTTGCATAAAGAAGAAGCCATGCAATCACACAAGGTGGCAGCCACCTAGAAACCAAGAAAAAACGCTTCAGGATAAAATTTACCTTGCTAGCACTTTGATTTTGGACTTCCCATTCTCTAGAAGTGTAACAAATAAAGTTCTGTTGTTTAAACCTAGTCTGCAGTATTTCATTATGGCAGTCTGAGCCAATGAATACAATTTTCTAAAAGTAGCATATTATTGGCTGGGCATGGTGGCTCACGCCTGTAATCTCAGCTCTTTGGGAGGCCAAGGTGGGCAGATCACTAGGTCAGGAGTTCGTGGCTAACAGTGAAACCTTGTCTCTACTAAAAATACAAAAAATTCGCCAGGCATGTTGGCATGTGCCTGTAATCCCAGCTACTCAGGAGGCTGAGGCAGGAAAATCTCTTGAACTTGGGAGCCGGAGGTTGCAGTGAGCCGGGATTGTGCCACTGCACTCCAGCCTGGGCAACAGAGTGAGACTCCATCTCAAAAAAATAATAAAAAATAAAAATTGGTAAGTTTACAGAAAATCTGAAAGACACTACCGACTTCCTTAACCTTATAAATTAACACTTATAAAATATCATGCTCAACAATTGCAAAATATACTTTCTTCTTTTCAAGGTCACATGGAATGCTCGCCAAGATAGACAATATCTTGATCCATAAACAAGTTTCATTCGATTTCAAAATATAGAAATCTGGCCAGGCACAGTGGCTCGTGCCTGTAATCCCGGCACTTTGGGAGGCTGAGACCGGTGATAACCTGAGGTCAGGAGTTCGAGATCAGCCTGACCAACATGATGAAGTCCTATCTCTACTGAAAATACAAAAAATAGCCAGGCATGGAGGTACACACCTATAAGCCCAACTACTCGGGAGGCTGAGGCAGGAGAATCGTTTGGACCTGGGAGGCGGAGGTTGCAGTGAGCCGAGATCTCAGCCACTGCACTCCAGCCTGGGCAACAAGAGCAAAAGTCAGTCACACACACACACACACACACACACACACACACACACACACAAAGGAACTCTTATGGCATATATTGTCTAATCGCAATGGAAATAAATTGAAATTCAACAAAAATAAAGCAGCCAGAATAGTTAAAAATAACTTGCTGCTCTCTGCCCCCGCCCCCCCCCCTCGTTCAGGCTGGCCCTGAGGCTGCAGCGGGTGGGTCGGGTGCGCCGAGGGCCAGTACCCCGCAGCAGGTGGGTGGGGTGCAGGCGGCGCCGGCTGGGCCGGGGGCTGCCGGCGGCGCTCTGGCAGGGCACAGTGGCCGTGCGGGCGCGCCATGGACTTCAACATGAAGAAGCTGGCGTCGGACGCGGGCACCTTTTATCCCGGGCCGTGCAGTTCATTGAGTAGAAGTGTGGCCAGGCTGAGAAGACCGAGCTTGATGCCCACTTTGAAAACCTTCTGGCCCGGCCAGACAGCACCAAGAACTGGACAGAGAAGATCCTGAGGCAGACAGAAGTGCTGCTGCAGCCCAACCCTACTGCCCGGGTGGCAGAGTTCCTGTATGAGAAGCTGGACAGGAAGGTCCCCTCACGGGTCACCAACGGAGAGCTGCTGGCACAGTACATGGCAGAGGCGGCCAGTGAGCTGGGGCCCACCACCCTCTGTGGGAAGACACTGCTCAAGGTGGCATTAGCTGAAAAGCAGCTGGGAGTCGCGGAGAGGGATTTTATCCACACAGCCTCCATCGGCTTCCTCACACCCCTGCGCAACTTCCTGGAGGGGGCCTGGAAGACCGTCTCGAAGGAGAGGCGGCTCCTCCAAAACCGGCGTCTGGATTGGATGCCTGCAAAGCGAGGCTGAAGAAGGCCAAGGCCGCAGAAGCCAAAGCCACGACGGTGCCTGGCTTTCAGGAGACTAGATTTCGTAATTACATTTTCTCAGCCAGCACCTCCGCGCTCTGGAACGATGAGGTGGACAAGGCTGAGCAGGAGCTCCGTGTGGCCCAGACAGAGTTTGACCGGCAAGCAAAAGTGACCCTTCTCTTGCTGGAGGGAATCAGCAGCACTCACGTGAACCACCTGCGCTGCCTCCATGGATTTGTCAAGTCTCAGACAACCTGCTAGGCGCAGTGCTACCGCCACATGCTGGACTTGCAGAAGCAGCTGGGCAGATTTCCAGGCACCTTCCTGGGCACCACAGAGCCCGCCTCGCCACCCCTGAGCAGCACCTCACCCACCACTGCTGCAGCCACTATGCCTGTGGTGCTCTCGGTGGCCAGCCTGGCCCCTTTGGGGGAGGCCTCGCTCTGCCTGGAAGAGGTGCCCCCAGTGGGACCTGCAAAGCTTGGGTGCTCTATGACTACGAGGCAGTGAGCTGGCCCTGCTGGCTGATGAGCTCATCACTGTCTACAGCATGCCTGGCATGGACCCTGACTAGCTCATTGAGAGGCAACAAGAAGGGCAAGGTCCCTGTCACCTATTTGGAACTGCTCAGCTAGGCAGGTTCCCTCCCAGGCCCCCCTGCCCCCATTCTGGCCTGGGCAGGAGAGGATGGCACAGCCCTGCCACTTACCTTGTTCGTTGGTGACACAGCTGCTCAGGATGGGGAGAATTCACCCCATTCTGTCCCTGCCCCTGGTCACCTAGCTGTGAGGGTGCCTGAGGCTGAATGGCCCCCGCCCCTCCCCTAGACCTGCTTCTGACCTGGGGCTCCGGAGCCCCCGCCCCTGCCTGCATCCCCCAGCGCCTCACCCTCCCGGCTCCACCAGGGAGGGAGGGACTGGCTGCAGCAGCTGCACTCAGCACCTAGGCCAGGGTGGGGCCGCCGCAGGAAGCCCCGGGTGCACTCAGCGGAAGCCCTGCCTTGCAGTTGCCAAAAGCTGCAGCAGGGGAATGAGGCAAGGCACGCTGGGCTCTGGCAGCCCCTGGGGACTGGGCACTGCCCCTGGGAGGGGAGAGCCTAGCCAGGGCTGGGGTTGGGCCTGGAGCAGCATCTTCCGGTGCTATCCTCCCTTCCCACCCCTCACAGCTCAAGCCAAGTCTGGCGGCTGCAGCCTCCATTTCTCTACACTCACTTTTTATCTGGTGTTTTTACTTCTGCCTGTGCTTGCTTTCTAGCCAATAAAGCCTCCTCGTGTGCGAGTTACCTGGGCTCCTGTCAGGGCCTGGCCTGGACAGTGGGAAGGGTAGCCTTGCTCTCTGCCCCACTCCTCCTGGGTGGAGTGACCCACAGAGCTAGCAGGGGCCCTGCGGCTGCCCCAGCTCTCCGAGCTGGGAAGTGCAGCCCTCCCTATCTTCCATGGGGCTTGCACCTATCGAGGGCAGTGCCGTTCCTGGAAAAAACAAAATAAAATAACTTGCTGCTAAACAATGCACTGGTCAAAATCATAAATCACAAAGGAAATTATAAAATATTTTGAACTGTCTCTGGGTTTAAAAAGAAAAATAATAAAACAAAAATAAAATATTTTGAACTGAAAGATAATAAAAACAAATTATTATTTGTAGGATTTTGTAACATTAAATGTTTATAAGAAAATAAGTTAGATCTCAAATCGGTGATATAACGTCCACCATAAAAAAAATTAAGCTAAACTTGAAGAAAGTAGAAGGAAAATATAATAAAGAGAAGAAATGTGTGAAATTGGAACAAAAAAATATTTTAAAAATCAACAACTGATTATTTGTGAAAAAAGTTAATAATATTGATTTTAAAAGCTCTAGAGAAAAGACACAAAATTCCCAATATCAAGAATAAAAAAAGAGCCATCACGTCAGATCCCGCAGACATTAAAAGAGTAACAAGAGGGCCGGGCACGGTGGCTCACACCTGTAATCCCAGCATTTTGGGAGGCCAAGGTGGGTGGATTATGAGGTCAAGAGATCGAGACCATCCAGGTCAACAAGGTGAAACCCCGTGTCTACTAAAAATACAAAACTACCTGTGTGTGGTGCCGCAAGCCTGTAGTCCCAGTTACTCGGGAGGCTGAGGCAGGAGAATTGCTTGAACCTGTGATGCGGAGGTTGCAGTGAGCTGAAGTCATGCCACTGCACTCCAGCCTGGCGACAGAGCAAGACTCTTTTTAAAAAAAAAAAAAAAAAAAAGTTATGGAAAAGAAAAAAACATATATACCTGAATTGAACCTTAGAAAGACTGGAAACAAAAAAGAAAAGAAAAAGAATATTATGAAAACTTTATGCCGATAATTTTGACAACCTAGGTAAAATGGAAAATTTATTGAAATACATAGTTAAGAATGGATGGCTTAGGCCAGCTGTGGTGGCTCACACCTTTAATCCCAGCACTTTGGCAGGCTGGGGCGGGAACATTGCTTGAACCCAGGAGTCCAGGGACAGCCTGGACAACGTAGGGAGACCCTGTCTCCACAGGCAGGGGAAAAAGAATAGATAGCCTGACTAGCCTATACTTCTTAAGGAAATTGAATTTGTAGTTAACATCTATGAAAATCTTTTCCTAAAAAGAAAATTCTAAGCCTAGATGGCTACGGCAGTGAATCTATCAAACATTTTAGGAAAATATAGTACTAACTGTACACAAACTGAATCTATCAAATGTGTCAGGAAAATATACCAACTGTACACAAACTCTTTCAGAAAAATAGAGAAAAATACTTCTGAACTTATTTTATAGGCCAATCCTACCTTAATGTCAAAGTCAGATGAAATATTACAAAAATAGTAAACAAAACTCAGATCAATATTTCTCATAAACATAGTTACAAAAGGCTGGGCATGGTGGCTCACGCTTGTAATCCCAGCACTTTGGGAGGCCGAAGTGGGTGAATCACCTGAGGTCAGGAGTTCAAAACCAGCCTGGCCAGCATGGAGAAAGCCTGTCTCTACTAAAAACACAAAAATTAGCCAGACGTGGTAGCAGGCGCCTGTAAACCCAGCTACTGGGGAAGCTGAGGCAGGAGAATCACTTGAACCCTGGAGGTGGATGTTGCAGTCAATGAGCTGAGATGGGGCCACCCCATTCTGGCCTAGAAGACAGAGCAAACTCTGTTTAAAAAAAAAAAAAAGATACAAAAATTCTTAACCAAATATTAGCAAATTGAAACAAGCAATTAATAAAAAGGAGAATTCATTGTGATCTAGTGTAGTTTATCTCAGGAACAAAGGTTAACATTTAAAACCAATCTCTGTAATTGTATTAACAGACTGAAAAAGGATAAAACCTCACGTCAATAGATGCAGATAAAGCATTTGACAAAATCCAATGTTCCTTTTTTATTTTTTATTTTTTCTATCTTTTTTTTTGCTTGAATTTCTCCCCCCCAAAAAATCCAAAGTTCCTTTATGTTAAAAACACATAGCAGGCTGGGCACAGTGGCTCATGGCTGTAATCCCAGTACTTTGGGAGGCTGAGGCAGGCAAATCACCTGAGGTCAGGAGTTCGAGACCAGCCTGGCCAATATGATGAAACCTGGTCTCTACTAAAAATACAAAAAAAAAAAAAAAAAATTAGCTGGGCATGGTGGTGCGTGCCTGTAATCCCAGCTACTCAGGAAGCTGAGGATTGCTTTAACCTGGGAGTTGGAGGTGAGCCTCCCAGTGAGCGAAGATGGCACTGCGGCAGTGAGCCAAGCTGGTGCCACTGCACTCCAGTCTGGGCAACAGAGCAAGACTCTGTTTCCCCAGAAAAACAAAAACCAAAAGCACTTAAAGCTCAATAATAGAAATCCAAAAACTCAATCCAACACAAACAAAAAAGTAGCAGGTTGGGGCATGCAAATAAACTGAACAGCCTCTTCACCAAACTAGTTATAAGGACGGCAAAAAAGTACATCGAAACTATGCCGAACATCATTATTCAATGAAAATTAAAACCATATTGAGATAGCACTGCACATCCATTATCATAGCTAAAGTTGAAGAGACTAGCGTTGGCAGTCACTTAAAACGCCTGGGATTCTCATTTACTGTTGGTGGAAATGTAAAATGGCACAACTACTTTGGAAAACAGTTTGGCAGTTTCTTAAAAAGTTAAGCATACATTTTTCAAGTTAGTACTGTCAGATAATGGACACCCAGAGAAATTTAAATTTTAGAAAAATAGTGAATAATTTTTCAATATAGGCTCTAAATATTGCATGGGATATATGTATCCTAAAACATTACTCCTTATTTATCTGAAATTCAAGTTTAAATGGATACCTTATATTTTTATTTACTAAATCTGGCAAATCTACTTCCCATACACCCCAGCTATTTCACCTCCATGTAATTACCAAAAGAAAAGTATCTCCATGTGTACACCAATGTTCACAGCAGCTTGCTTGCTTTTCTTTCTTTCTTTTCTTTCTCTTTTGCTCACTTTCTTTCTTTCTCTCTCTCTTTCTTTCTGATGGACTCTCACTCTGTTGCCCAGGCTGGAGTGCAGTGCTGCAATTTCCACTCACTGCCACCTCCACTTCCCAAGTTCAAGTAATTCACATGCCTCAGCCTCCTAAGTAGCTGGGATTATACATGTGTACCACGATGCCCAGCTAACTTTTTGCATTTTTAGCAGAGATGAGTTTTCACCATGTTGGGCAGGCTGGCCTCGAATCCCTGACCTCAGGTGATCCACCCGTCTCAGCCTCCCAAAGTGCTGAGATTAGACGCGTGAGTCACTGCACTCAGCCCATAGCAGCTCTCTGTGTAATAGGTCCCAAACTGGAACCAACCCAAATGCCCAAGAACATGGAGTCTGGATAAATAAATTAAGGTATATCCATACAATGGCATACTACTCAGCAATAAGGAATGAACTATTAATACATACAAAACATGGATGAATAATTATGCTGAGTGAAAGAAGCCAAACCAAAAAGAGTAGTTATCAAATGATTCCATTTAAATATAATTCTAGTCCAGGAGCAGTGGCTCACGCCTGTAATCCCAGCACTTTAGGAGTCTGAGGTGGGCAGATCACAAGGTCAAGAGATCAAGACCATCCTGGCCAACATGGTGAAACCCTGTCTTTACTAAAAATACAAAAATTAGCTGGACATGGTGGCAGGTGCCTGTAATTCCAACTTGGGAGACTGAGGCAGGAGAATCGGTTGAACCTGGGAGACAGAAGTTGCAGTGAGCCAAGATCGAGCCACTGCACTCCAGCCTGGTGACAGAGCAAGACTCAATCTCAAAATAATAATAATAATAGTAAAATGAATAAATACAATTCTAGAAAGGGCAAACTGATCTGTAGTGACAGAAAGCTGAACAATGATTGCCTGGGCCAAGTGTGAGGTAGAAGGCAGGGAGGAAAGGGTGGTTTTTCAGCCTCTAAGGGGGATGGATATACTTATCATCATGATTGTGGTGATGATTTTCCAAGTGTAGACCTATGCCAAAACTCATCCAATCATATTTTTCAAATAGGTACAGTTTATGATGGGTCAATTATACCTTAATGTAGCTGCGCGATTTTATTTGTAATGTTCTTGTACAAGTTTACTCTGTATATAAGAGTTTGTGAAACTCCATGGCCAACAAAACAAATATTTTACTCACTTAGAGAGATAGGACCAACAAACACGAACCCTAAATAAAAGCACAAGTGTTAAACAAGAGGAAACGAGAGGTAACATTTGTAAATATTAAAGCAATGTGTTTCGATTTCCCTGTGAACTCATGCTCCTTTGCAGCTTTCGTGGAGAGAGCCCTAACGCTTATAACCAGAGCTGAAAAGAGCTGTTATCTGACTTTTATTTTATTTTATTTTATTTTATTTTATTTTATTTTCACAGACAGAGTCTCAGTCTGTTGCCCAGGCTAGAGTACAGTGGAGTGATCTTTCCTCACTGCAACTTCAGCCTCCTGGGTTCAAGCAATTCTCCTGCCTCAGTCTCTTGAGTAGATGGGATTACAGGCGTCCACCACCACCCCCAGCTAATTTTTGTATTTTTAGGAGGGATGGGGTTTCGCCATGTTGGCCAGGCTTGTCTCGAACTCCTCACCTCAGGTGATTCTCCCGGGCCTCCCAAAGTGCTGGGATTATAGGCATAAGCCACTGCACTGGGCCTTATTTGACTTTACTTACAGAATGATTAGTTTGCAAACCAATCCTCGTGGAGAGGGAGTGAATTTTCTACATTTCTTTAGAATATCAAAGGATAGATGTGGAGAATCAGGGCATAGATTTTTCTACCAATGTTGTAAAGACAGTACCCCCTTCTACTTGTGG